TCCACTTTTGCCTAATTGCAGTTTTGATAATATTTCAATAAGTTTTGTAGCCCTATTTTACAGATATGTTTTTTTAAAAGGTTTCCTCATTACATTTAGTAAAAAACATAATTTTAGCAACATATTTTCTCTTTCAAATTAGTATATTAATGTGTTTTCTAGTAAACAGGGTTAAATTTGCAGAGTTTAAAGGCCGTGCCAGGTTTGAGTTCTTCTACACTGGATGATCTGACAGGAAGAAATATAAGGCAACAAACTTACTTAAAAAAATACAAGTTCCCTTATATACTATTACCTGTAGGGCTTTTAATCCATCTAGATTGTTTTCGTGTGAGTTGGTGTGTTGTGGAGAAATGTAGAGATGTTTGTCGTCTCTCCAGAACTCATGACCCGGACACTCAAGATAATCCACTGACCTTGTTGTGAGCAGTTCTACCAAACTACACCCACCAACCGTATCAGCACGCAGAAGGAAGCATGCATCTACTCCTGCGTTTGCTAGCGAAATGTTACATCTCATTCGCTCACATCACCATTAATGTTTACTCCACATCCTTTAGTCCATGAGTAGACGCACGCTTTGTTCTGCGCAGGGACACGTGGAAAGAAAATAGTACACGAAACTGCTCACAACAAGATCTGTGGATTCACCGGGTCATGATTTCTGGAAAGAGAGATTGCTGTTGAAATGCTTTTTGGTTTTTGGCGCTTTGATCCATCTAGTTCCATTATATTTGAGTAAAGGCAGACATCTCTATGGCCAATTTCTCCAGAACTCAGCAACCCACACCAAAACAATCCAGATGGATAAATCACACTACAAGTACGAGGAAAAATATGTACTTTTTAATTTTGGGGTGAACTGTCCCTTTAACAATTAATAGAAAATATGTATCTCTCTCTTGTTCTTATAATCTTATCACTATCCCCTAGCATAGCAGATTAGCCATCATTTGGGAATTATCTCAAGACACTCTGGGAAATGTAGGAAATCCAACATAGAGCATAAAAATACACTTAACCACAAAATGTGCAGATGAACACAGAGTTATGATACATACGGTTAAAAGAGGACCTGAGGATGTTGTTTCCTTTAAAGCGGGCATCTTGAGCCCTGGCCACACAGTGGTAACAGCTCTGAGAAAGAGAAGCCGTGTTGTGCTCCTGCAAATGTGATTGAATTGACCACTCAAGGTAGTTTGAAGGGATTGATTAATAGATTGACAGAAGGATTGACTGTTGTTTAACACTGGATGTATGGACAAACTGGCTGTCCTCGCCTTCTCCTCCTGTGTGTCTTAACCTCCTACTCGCGTGTGTGTTTTGCCAAGCTTTAGAAAAATATTCCAATCTGCGGAGACCTAAATTTCATTTTAACACCTCACTCCTTTTCTCCCACACATATTTTAAATGAACTGCCTGGCTTTGGAGAAGTCACAGCTATCATTTCTGTCTGGTTTTTAACTGGTTTTTCAGCTGCGCTTCATGTTTCTTGTGCCTCTGTGCCACAGTGAAATTATACAAATATGTTAACAGTAATTTGTGTAGAGTAATGTTCTAGTGCAACACCTTGACTCATTCAGACTTTGAAATCGTATGTGCTTTCACCAGTTTTAGAGTGTTTTCTGAAAAGAAAGCTGAATGTTTTTATGTAGTATGTTTTTAACTCTACTGTGTTTTTTGTGTCCCCTTGCTGTATTTTCTTCCTTTTGTTTGGTGGCATTTCTAGTTAATTTTTTTGTTGATTATTTCTAATGTATTTACTGACTGTGAAGCACTTTGTAACTTGCTTTTGAAAAGAGCAGTACAAACAAAGATTATTATTCTCAGAGGTATTTTGTCATTGTGAGTCCAAATGTCAAATCTGTACTGGTGTAATTGGCCTAAAGTCTCCCCTCCCGCAATGAAATCTCATCTCTTTTCCACATATGGTACATTGTTATTAGATTACAGTTCCCATGACTTCCTCATTGTCTCCTGCAAAATGTATAGCAAAATGCTGGATGAAATCAGCAAGGAGGCTGCTTCATTTGTCATGACTGGAGTAAAGAGAGTAAATTGGTGAGTTCTGACTTTATGCATTTTGGCCAAAATAAATAAAATATCTGGTAACTCATCCTTGTTTTAAATGTGAGCTACACACAGAACGTTTCCTGTAATGACTTCCAGCTAGCAGTGTCCTTCTGGAGTAGAGCCTAGAAAAGGCTCAGCTTGAAAGGCTTAATGCTACATTCATGTCGTGTTGGGTTTACTATAGATGTGACTGGGTATAAGGATCAGTTAATGGTCAAAACGAAGTAGTTCGTACGACGTAGCCGACCACATTGGAAGTGTTTATAGCTGTCCTGAACGGCCAGAATCGAAGGCGGGTCAAAGCCGGCTGTCACAGAGATGGTGGAATTCATTTGTATTCTATCCTATTTCTATGATCATTCAGTAGCATCTGTGCTGCTGAAAATACCCTCCAGACCAAGCCACACACAAAATATTTTAGGGGAGACATGACTACAGATATAGTTTTTACTATAGGGTTAGGCCCATTCGCCCCGTCAAAAATTAACAAATGATCGACTGGTTACAGAAATGGTTGGACATCCGACGACAGAAAGTTGTGGGTGGAGGGCATTTCCAAAGACCATCTGACAAGCAGTTCTGAAGGAGTATACTGGCTCCTTTACACACAATTAACTCCACTTACTGTAGAAAAACTGAATATTTGCAGCAGTTTTTCGTTGACTCGAGTCAAGATTCAACAGGGGATCTAGTCCTGACTGAGACTGTGGAGCCTCAGAAAAAAAAAGAAAGTACCATTTCCGGCTATTTTAGTATTTTCAAGAAATTACCAAAATAGCAGGCAAATTATTCCCAAAAATATATGATGACAGTGACACTCTACTGCTATTCTTCAACATAACTCATTACAAGACAGGAGCCTGGAGAGAGAGAGAGACAGCATCTGGTGATGTTGAGATGATTTACTTTGGTGTGACGTGGAATTATACATCAACAGCGTGTGTCGAGTCTGTGACAAGACTAAATCTCACAAAATGTGAGAACTGGATTTAAAGATGTGCTGCTTGTTCTGTTGTGAGTCTAAAAATCCCACTTAAATCCTACTTACATAACTGCAAGCTGCTTGGATGGTACTTCATAGAGGTTCTCCTCTTTACCTCCATCCTGAGTCTGGTTTTTTTACCCCCATTAACTTGTAATGTAAGGAGAAGGCTAATAATATATAATCTCTTACTTAACACTTTCTGACTTCCCTACCCTATCTGTGTTCAGAAACATAAAGCTTAGTTTAAAAAAAAAGGCTCAGTGATTTCCTGAAACAGCTGGGTTTTTAACAAATGTTACACAAACTGGAGTAAAAAGCGCATTTGTTGGGGACTATTTTTAGTGGCGGACTGATACACATTTGGTGTTCGAGGGAGTATTTACAGCAGCAGGGTGTGTTTGTGGGATTGAGTCACAATAAACTAGTGTGTGTGTGCATGACAATGAAGGAAGGTGTGTCCCAGTGCAACAGTGTGGCTAATTTGTGTGTTTTTAATGGTTTTAGGACAAAAA